GCACATCACTTCAACTGCTTCACTGAGTTGGCACGGACAGATACAGTTGTGTATCATCTGCGTATTGGTGGTATTTAATCCCATGCTGACGTATGATCTCACCCAGCGGCTTCATGTAGATGTTAAATAGGAGGGGGGACAGGACCGAACCCTGTGGCACCCCATACTTAAGGGGCCTAGGGGCTGATCTCTGCCCTCCAACCAACACCGACTGCGACCTGCCCGAGAGGTAGGAGGAGAACCACCGAAAAATGGTGCCTCCCACTCCCACCTCCCGCAACCGCCGCAGAAGGATATCATGGCCGATGGTATCTTTCATATCTTTTTGTAAGACTTTGTAAGAAACATAGAGACTGCTTTTCTGAAATGTAAATATAGCTTATAAATGTTGCTAATTTATTTTTTCTTTTGCATCTTTCCTATTTATAAGGATCTTGGCAGCAAAGATATGAAGAAAGATTTGTACATAGTTGCCCATGTAATCCGAATAGGTACAGTATGCCTTATTAAAAGCATTTGCATTTTTTTAAACAACATAAATAATATATGATATGCTCTGTTGTATAAGTTGTTTCTGCTGGAGACAATAACAGAAGATCACTTATGTTTTATTAATAATTACGAAAGACTTCTGAATTATAAGCATACTCACTAAATGTTTTAATGGAATGGGAGGATATTGTAATATATCTATTCCAACATACTGTGTGTGTTTTATTTTTATGCTTATAAATCAATCTATTAGAAAGGATAATAACATAGTTCTGGCAGCACCTATCTGAATTATATTTGGCTTATCTTGATTTCTTTCAGTCTTTGCTATATTTAAGATTGCCCTGACTTGAAAAAGAGTTGGAAAAGGGTGCTTTGGAAAGTGTGGAGCTCAGGTTCAGCCCTTCTTTAAAGCAGCTGAACCTTCAGTGTAATTACCAACCAGCCCTACTGATTTTCAGGTTTGAGCTGAAGGCTGGAAAAAACACCATATTGCCAAAAACATTTGTGAACAAATATTTAACCAAAGACTGACCTTCAGTATCTAATGGAACAAATGTCTCATTTTAATTTCAGTATTTAGTATTTTTGCTCTGATTAAAAAAAACTTTTATGGAAATTGTTAGGCCATTAGTTTTTCTAACTGTATTTCTGTAAAACCCAGGGATCCACAAGAATTTGATGGGGATCACAAGATCACACACACACACACACACACACAAAACCCCTACTAGATTATATTGGTCTCCCTTCTCTCTGCAAGGAGTTTGAATAAAAGTTGGGTGGCTGCCTTTCCCCCAGAATTAGTTGAGGTATTTCATCCATATGCACATACTATCTGGCTTTCTGCCTGCCCACAGAATCTGAAAAACGTTTTCTAATAAGCTGTCTTTATTTTCTAAAGGATAGCCAAAAAATTGAAAGGGACCATTGCAGTTGACAAAGTTTGTGAACAAAGAGAGCTTGAAATCCAATACAAATTTTTAATTTGTTTAGCAGCACCAGATTAATGGCTATGTCTTTTCCGCTTATCCCTGTCAAAGATGTTGGGCTTACTTTTCTTGATTTTTGCTTGGTTATTACTTTGTCCCAAATATAGCAAAAAGAGACAGGATTATTTTAAAAGATTACAAATGTAAGGTCAGCTTGGGTGCAGCTCATGTATACCTCAAATTCCTTTACAGTGGGACCAGCTCTAGAGTAAAACACATATGAGAATTATCTTTGTGCATTGCATTATATTTTTTCCCTACACCTTGCACCTTTTTTTTTTTAGCCAGTTAGTAATTGATAAAGAATGTATCTTCATAGTCATTTCATGGTCACTGAAATTACTTGAAAAATGATTGATGAAGAATTCTCTAAAGACTTTTTGAAAATAAAAATACACACAGTTGACAGAATCATTTTTGTCCACTTAAAAAAATTATAGAAGATTGCTATGGAAGAATTTATCTTTGGAGAATTCATGCTTATTTACTTTTCAGTGAACTTTTTTCATTGTTTACTTAGTAATTTTATCTTTGAATAGTATTTCTACTTTCTTAGCAAACCTATAATTTTCAATATCTCCCCTGGAATCCTTTTTAAAACTAGTATCTCATTGGCTACTTTGGTTTAGGTTTAGGTTTATTAGATTTATATGCTGCCCTTCTCCCAAGGACTCAGGGCGGCGGACTTTGCAGCTCTCTAGCACTGAACTTAATTTTAGGAATAAGTTAAGTCTTGCCGGGAAATCAGCAATTTTACATCTGATACTCAAGACATCAAGACCCAAGAATTCTTTATATTTTACTTTTTTAAAATATTCCAGATTATTTTATCAAATTGCTTAATTTGCTCTGATTTCCTCCCTGAAAAACTCAATACAGACTCAAGGATCTATCTTTTACCTTCAACAAGAAAGAAAGTTGCAAGAATTTATTCAATTTCTCTGCAATCTCCATATCCCTACTATCACTTCTTTCTTGCCTAATGAACGGTTCTTTAGGTTGCAGAACCTGTCAGTAATTTTTTTTTAAAAAATCCCATAACTTCTGATCATAAGGCAATTTTCTAGTGATAGAAAATAAGCAGTAGCACAAAACTCGTCCTTGTTTTAATTTATGCAAATTCTACATTAAAGTTATTTGAATTTCACAAAAAAATGAATGCACTAATTACTGTACCATTTATGAATTAACATGATGCAATTATATCAATTTTTTTATATTATGAATGCCTGGCTGAAGCCACATAAGCAGTCATCTTCTTTCTGCCTGCTTTTGCATTCACTCTCCTAACTACTCAATATTTTCAATTAGATTTACAGAAAACATATTTTTGAGTAGAAAGCTGCCATAGGATTCAAGCTGCTGAAAATGGTCAATTTTCTTAGAAAATGAAAGTGTAGTTCCTTAAAGATCTGTTCTGAGATCAGTGATTTTATGGTTTATGGACAAATTGTCTTGAAATAAGCAGCAAGTTGACAGGGTAAGCAGTAGATGATATCAAACTATTTAGGGTAATTAAATCTAAATTTTATGATACAGTTCTGGAAAGGTTTTTTTTTTAAGTATAGCAAAATGGTAAATGAAATGACAAATACAGTTCAATTGAAGCAAGTGTAAAGAGATGCACATTGAGTCATCCCATTTTACATACAGATTTATGTACTTTGGGCTGTCTTACCCAAACGAATAAGGAATATTATCAATAAATCAATCAAATATCAATAAAGTCTCAATTCAATGTGCAGCAACTGTGAAAAAAGAAAATGTCATATTCAGGATTGTCAGGAAAGAGATTAAAAATAAAACTATCAAATTTTAATCTGCTTCCACTAATATATTTTGGCTAGAACTTTTAGCACTTCTTAACATAGAAAGAAAGGCACCTGAGGAAGATATGATTGAATTATGTATGACCTGACAAAATGTTTATGACACTATTCCCCTTCTCTTGAAATGCTAGGACTCAGATTAATCCAGTAAAATTGATTGGAAACAGACTGAGAAAAAATTAAAAATATTTAACAATTAACCTATGAAATTTAAGACAAAAGATAAATTGATGTCCACTGATATTATTTTAAAATGGACTGGATAAATTCATGGGATGGCTATTGGCCTCAAGGGTTGTGGGCAGCATGCCTCTCAAACAACTTACAGGGAACATTCTGGAAGAAGACACCTAGCTACATCTAGCTGTAAGAAACAAAATACTGGAATGTGAGGGTCTTAGCCTGATTCAGAAGAGCTTTTCTTCTGTTTGTTTTAGGGCGTATGTTGCTAAATGACTCAAGAAAGGGTCCAGCTCACCTCTATTACCGTCGCCCATATGGCTGTGCTGTATTGAGTGTCTTGGATGTAATGCCATCAATCTCTGAACTCAAAGAAGAAAAGGATTTTGTTCTCAAAGTTTACACGTAAGTTTATTTAGTTGAAGCATTTAGTGACACAATTAGTTAGTGTGATGAGTAGCTGTATAAATTGGCTTAATAAGTAAATGAACAGAAATGCCATAATATGTTAATGTCAAGTCTACTATTTTTCTGGTATGTAAAATAGGTACTGTTATCACAGTTTAGGATGTATTTTTTTAAAAATATTGATCCAATAATTAATATGTATTATCTATGACAAGCCAATATGTATGTGACTAACATATCTGATTGTAACACTTCAGATCTAAAGTTGGAAGTTGCTTTAAAGAGGTGTATATTCTACACCTATTAGCATCTCCTTAAAGAGGCTATAACTTTTACTGAAATTATTTGGTAGCCACATTACTACAGGAAAATTTATGTTTGATTTAGGTAGTCAGTGCAGCAAGATGCTTTGGAGTGGGCATGGGCCTCTGGTGCCTCCTTAACTAAAACCCATTTTTTCTGATATTGTACAATCCCAGATAAAATATACAATTATTTATCAAGGCAATGATTCACTCCCCCCCCCCCCCGCCCTCCAAAAAGAGCAGCTTGAAACAGCAAATAATTTGCAGGCAAATTGAGAGATATTTTATGATGGCAGATACAGATACATTGCTTCTAAGTCATATTCAAGCTCCAAGTACATTTTTAGAAGCTCCTATAAATCCCTACAAATAATCTCACTGAATTTAAGTGACAGATGGACAATGTTCAAAGTGGCCTTTATCTATTGTTTAATGTAATTAATAATTAAAATAGGCTCCTTGTATCTCCACTACATTTAAACAGCTATATTTTTCTTGAATCCTTTAAGGACATTTCCAGACTAAACTGCCAAAATTCAGCATATAATATATGTACAATATGCGTGTATGTATATAAGACTAGGAATGCTAAAACTTTATATACATTAAATATCCTCAAGAGCACAAAACATGAAAAATAGTATGCCCCCCCCCAATCTTATAAGGACTCCGCTAGTCCTTATAAGATTGGGGGGGGCATTCTTAATTGAAAAAATAATAAAATAAAATAATTGTATGTTATCTCTTATTCAATTGTTGACTAATAGTGATGCTACCTAGTTTGGGTAATGAGATATCTGCAAGAAAACAACCAAGTTTAGAAAGCACCAAGGTCTCCTTATTTCAATTCTGAGCTACAAATATTCTCCATTATTGGATATAATTTTCATAATAATGAGAGACATGAGTCAAAATTAATCATGGGATCTCTAACCAGCCTATTCCCAAAGGTGCTTTTTCAAAAGTCAATTAGACTTTCTTTGTTTTTGCTTGTCATTTAAGATGCTTCTCATCTAAGAAGCTTCTTCAGTTCTGATGTGGAGAATGCAAGGATTTATATTCCTTGCAATCATCTGGTTGTTGAACACTTGTTCTGAAAGTTGTTGAGGAGGTTTATCTGTGCCCTCAGGGTCCCCTGAATAATGCAAATGGGTGTGGAGCCTTCTGTATTGTAAACAGGAGACAGGGAATGTTGTATCCCTCCCTCTCTGTTGAGAGAGAGCTGTTCTATCTTAATGTAGATGGCCTCTTTCTAACCAGTGGTCCTCTCTGTCCAGAATGTGGACTTTGCTGTCTTCAAACGAGTGCCCTGTGTCTTTTAAATGCAGATGGACTTCTCAATCTTGTCCTGATGGGTTTGTTCTCCTATGTTGTGCCATGCGTTTGTGAAGTAGTTGTTTTGTTTCTCTAATGTACAAATCTACATGTTTCATTATATTGTATTGCACACATCATGTTGTTCAGTTTTATCCTTAGGGTGGATAAGCTTCTGCCATAATGTATTTTGGGTTTAAAGTGAGGGTGTATATAGTGTTGGTTGAAAATCCTCCTGAGCTTTTCTAATGTTCCTGCAACATACGGAAAGACAACGTTGCTTAGTTTGTTGCTCTTCTTTTTCTGTTATGGAGAAGCTCCTGCTGGGTCTTTTTTTGGATTTAATGAAGGCCCAGTTGCAGAGGTGGTTGCTCCTGCTTCGGCCAGTATTGGGAGAACTGGTAGTAGCGGCAGCAGGAGGCTCTGCCCATCCGCCCGGACACTTCTGCGCATTTGTAGAAGTGTTGCACGTGCAAGCACGTGCAAACCGGTAGCAAAAAAAATGGCAACTCACCACTGCCCAGTTGGGATAGTCACAAGTTCTGAGGGCTTCCTTGACACATTTTAGTTATTTTTCTTTTCCATCTTTGGAAAAGGCAACTTTCAGCCCCGTGATGTAGGATTCTGATCACTTCCTTCTCCTGTGTGCTGCTTGGGGAATCCAAGCATNGCTTTGCATGTAATGAGTCTATCTCATATATTAGTTTCACCTTTTAAGTTGCATTACTGAAATAAATGAACTTTTGCATGTTATTCTAATTTTTCGAGTTTCACCTGTAGGTTATAGCAATAGCAGTAGACTTATATACCGCTTCATAGGCCTTTCAGGCCTCTCTCTCTCTCTCTCCCCTCTCGCTATAGCTTAGCATGTTGTATGAACCTTACCAACGTATTATTCAAGAAACACAATCATTCCAAGTGTATTTTAGTGACAGCAATAGCATTTCTGCAATGCTCTTTATCTTCAGGAATACGTTTTTGCAAAAGAACACCCCCCACCCCCCAGTATGAATGACATCTGGAAGCATGTTTTGCTTTGATTAGACCTTTCACGCTGGCCCTCCTAAATCAAGATACAGGTAGCCCTCATCCTATGACTGTCATGGAGCCTGTTTATTGTGGTCTTAGTAAAACAGGCTGGTCATATGACCGACTTTGATATTACAGTCTTTTTTGCAGCAGTTGCTAAGCGAACACCATGGTCATTAAGTGAAGCAATGATTTGCTGTATGGTTTTGCCGAAAACCAGAACTAAGTGCCAGTTTTTGGCAAAGCCATTGTAAAAGGCAGTCCTGTGGTCATGAGAGGTCGCAAGCAACCATAAATGCAACCCAACTGCCTGAGGTTCGGTCATGTGATTGCAGGGGTGGGTGGATAATGACCATCAGAACTTCAAATCCCAGCCATAAATCAAGGACTATCTGTAGAATTTTTTTTCTTTTGGAAGGAGGCTTTGCTTCTGCTTTGTTTGCATGGAGAGGACAACTTTATATCCTTGTCACTTGTGTAGCCACACAACCTTGGCTTAACCAGTCTCTTTCCTTGCTTCTTCCACCTGCTCCAAACCCAAGACGTTTGTAAGGCACACAAAAGGGAAGAGTCATTCAGGAGGGGCTCACTGCTTGTCAAACACACAACATGCTTAGTTGGGCTGTTCTCTAGATCTTCTGGACTCCTGACTGCCATCCATGGAAGACTTGTGATGGGAAAGGCAGTTGCAGCAGTCAGAATGCAGTATTGCGGGCTAACTCTGCCGACTGCCAGCAGTTTGATCCTCACCGGCTCAAGGTTGATTCAGCCTTCCATCCTTTTGAGGTCAGTAAAATGAGGACCCAGATTGTAGTGGGGCAATATGCTGACTCTGTAAACTGCTTAGAGATGGCTATAAAGCACTGTGAAGTGGTATATACTGTACGTCTAAGTGCTATTGCTAAACGAAGCACCCCAATACTCCCTCCGCAGCCATTTTCCATACAAAGCAAATCTCAAAATGGCCAAAGCCTTTGGGTGGCATAGAGGAATTTCCATTTATTTCATTTCATTAATAGCATTTTTTTCCTGAAGCATACCAGAATCGATTAGGAACCTGAAAAGGAAAAATGGGGGTGGGGGGAGGGGGGGATGGGACTGAGCCAAGGGCAAGGGTCACACACAGCTAAATCACTCCCCACCCACCAACAAATGACACAATGATTCAAATATACTGATTGGGGGTGGGGGGAGAAAACCCCAGCATGATTTGGGGGGGGGGGCAGGGAGGAATAGGAAACACATTCCAATAATTTATTTGGAGGGGGAGAAAAGAAACGCCAAACAAATTGTCCTGGGTGCTAATGAGTGCCCCTCCCTAACATCAAAGAGGATTCTCCTGTGTGCTGCTTGGGGAATCCAAGCATGGGTTAACTTTGTCCATTAGCCTAGAGACTGAGTTATGTAAAT